CACCGGGAAGGTGCCCAAACGGGCTCGGCCGGACGGGGCAGCCCGTCAGGGCGGCCTGATGAAAAGTGGTGGGTTCAAGTAAAAAGTAGTCTTCTCATGAAAAGTGAGAACAAATTTTGGCCTTTGATCACTTGAAAATGGATGGATAAGATGGACTTTAAACACAAGAGACAGTTTTATAAAAGTGCAAATGTTTATACTATAAAGTGGATAGTTACTGATTAAAATAGCACTCATGCGTGTAAAAAAAGATTGTCAAAATTTTCCAACTTGTGCACTTTTTATTATGTAATATGTATTGCACTTTTGTGCTCTACGGCTGCACTTTTTGACTATTCTGATACACATTTGCCACAACATTTTTAATAAAAGTTCTCCATAATTACAACAATGCCACCGCGTTTCAACATTAAAAATTGATCTCTTCCATCCAAATTTCTTCACATCAATGGCCAATATTAGTTCTTATTTTTCACTTAGGAAGTACTTTTTATTTGAACCAAACTCTATATATATATATATATATATATATATATACACACACACACACACACACACACACATATATATATATATTATACTTCATATATATGAAATATTTGGCTCTGCTTAAATCAATCACGGGAACAACAACACTGAAAGAGTCCGCCCTAGCATGAAATGCAATTACACTAGTCACTATATATGTTTAAGAAAACAATTTAAACCTTAATACTTTAGATTAAGATTAAAATTAAGATAATCAAATTAATACTTTATTGAGCAAGAGTATTTGTTTAAAAAATTATATATATAAAAAATTGATGCATTTGGAATACATAATTTTTAAAGAAACTATAAGTTTTGTGATGATGGGACAGCGAATACATAATTCAGGATATAGAGATCGAAGCAACAAATTAAGAAAGGACGATGTAGTCATAAAATCGCTTGCCGGAAGTGACGTATAGGCTACTCTTGATTCTAGAGTGTTCATACGAATTTTGGTCTTCAAAAAGCTTAAAAAAATAGATTATTAGAATGTCATATATTTTGGATCAATTTAGGACCTTTGGTTTCGAAGAATATACTCATAACATTTAAAAAAAGGATTACACTTCATTCATGAGGGTCTCCCAAAACCGACTGGATAGTTATCTGGGAGGATGTAAATAAAGCTTTGATCTCATTCTGATGAAAAGATAGTGTGATTCAATCTCAAGTCATTATTTGGAGTTGAACTCGAGACCTCTCCTTTGCGGCACCACTTCGTACTAGGTGAGGTACGTCTCCCGGTTATACTCGTCACATTGACAGTATATGATGTGTTTCATATGTAACGTACTTCTATTTTATCGATATTCTATTTGTTTATACTATTATGTTGAATAGAACATATTCAAATAAAATGACTACATAATCATCTAAGGCCTCATAATTACTCTAGACGGCCTTGATTCCCAAGAGTACCATAAAAATGGTCTGAAGATTCCGGTCCAATAATAATGCTACCCATACCCAAGATAAGGGTTGGATCTAGTTACAGACGGGAAGTGATCAGTTAAATCACAGTGGCTTGTTCGGTCACTGGTATAAACTAGTCTAGTATGTTTGAGTTGGGATCGGACCGGGCCCAGCTGGTAGTGGGATGGTCCTGTTCTAAATGGTCAATTAGTTTCTAATTTTTAAATTAGGAAGGTGTGATGAAATAGAAGGAAATAAGCAGAAGGTTAGGAAGGAGAGAATATATTAAGTATACTCTTAAGAGAGTTGATATTAATGGTGTTTTACAATGAAGGAGAAAGCCTTATTTATAGGTTAAACAAATGACTAACTCAGAATGAGGGGATTAATACTAGCAACATAATCACTATCTAGAAATCATAATTGTGGTTTCTGAATGATCTTGATGATAATAGTAATGAGTTATTAATCATGAATATGACTAAATCATTATATTTCAACATCCCGCTTCAAGAGTCATCTTCAAATTATTCATGAGTGTTAGTTTCCTAGTTAAAAACCTTACTATGCTTTTCACAAGTGGATGAAAATCATAGTTAAGGGAAAAAGAGTACAACATCTGATCTCATGATATTATGATGTATTGTTTGGTTAAAAATCTTGTTAGGAAAAATCTAATGGGATAAAAACTTGAACGAAGAGAAAAAGAGAGCAGTGCATATAATACCCCCTCAATTTAACATATATCTCGAAGACAATGGTTTTGTGAATAGATCATCAGGGTTGTTGCATGACTTGGTTTGTTTGACATCAACCATTCCTTCTTTCTCAAGATCATGTATGGAGAAAACTTTTGGTGTTATATGTTTTGTCTATCCCCTTTGATGTATCTTCCTTTGATCTGAGTTATATATGTCGTGTTGTCTTCATAAATCACAGTAGGACCACATGTACAAGATTTTATGCCGCATTCATTTTGTGTGTGCTAAATCATTGATCTCAACCAGACACACTCTCGGATTGCTTCATAAAGAGCGATTAATTCTACATTATTTGATTATGTGACAATTAATGTTTGCTTCATTGATCTCCACGAGATAGCGATATCACCATAAGTGAATAAATGTTATGTTTGCAATTTTGCCTTTCGTGGACCAAAAAGTACCCTGCATTGGCATAGCCAATTAATGTGGCATTTGTAACATTCTTGTAATATAATCCAAGATCGATTCTATCATTGAAATAACCGAATATATGTTTGTCGCCTTTCCAATGTCTTCTAGTTGTAGGAAGAATTGTACCTGACTAATAATATTACAGAAAAAGCAATATTTGGTCGTGTATTATTAGCCAAATATATTAGTACTCCAATACCATCAAATATGGTATTTAATTAGGGACCAAAGATTTATTCATCATCATTTATTTAATTGAGAGATCGAATCACCATTGGAGAATTGAGTGGGTGTGATTTATCATCATAAATTGCAATTATGATGATCCTGGTTTGGACCGCCAAATAAAAACACATGGACTAATAGGATCATTTTTATACCCTTCTTTAATCAAATACACTGAGACGATTATACCACATACGTCTAGAATGTTTCCGTATAATGACTTTTGTAATTTTATGGAAAGTGAGGCTCAGAATTCCGAGCTATAAGCATCAGGTAGTTTAAACCCTTCATGAATTTTCATATATATGTCTGTATCGAATGAGACGCATAAATGCGCGATCACCGCATTCATCAGGCGCATTTACAACCTTTCAAAAACAAACATGCTAATTAAAATCTTGAAATGTAAAAGTAGTAGCATCAAGTATTGGAGAATACGTGTCATCGTAGTCGATTCCTGCCATTTGGAAAAAATCTTAGGCAATAAATCTATGATGACATTCGTCAATATAGTTAGGCATTGTCATCGTGTTCATTCATTATACTTGTGGCAATGTCGTATAAAAATATATCATTAACATCAATATCTTTTCTATTTCATCACATTCCATTAAAAACATAATTAATTGAAGTTTTGAAATTATTGACGTTTATATCTTTATTTCGAATATTTACCTCTTGAAATTATTGACATTTCTATCTTTATCTCGAATATAACTATATGCATTAAAACTAAAATCATAAAACGACAATGACTAACGGTTTTGATATACCTTTTCATATTCTCAGACAATGAGAATATGATATGAAAATCATCATAATATGAAAATCATCAGAATATGACTCACGGTTATGCTCATATTACATCCATGATATGAAAATCATCTACACCAGTTCCCTACATTTTTATCTTATTATCATAATATAGAGAATTGCATTGATGGAAGTTGAAGATTATGAATGAAAAATAATCATCTACATTTAGACGTGTGTGCCTTGTTTTAAATATAGCGGAAAGTAAAAATGTACTTGTGATTGTGCTCGTTTTCAGATAGGGTTATGTGTTTCATTTTTTTTATCAAAGTGGTTCAAGTGTTTAGATTCCATTATCACAAAGTCATGACACTTGACGCCGTTAGAAATCGCCAGAGGAAGACAATGAACAATTAAAAGATTAAAAGAAAAATGCCGGAAGATACACCTCAACAAAATGATCGCTACGTCATCTTTCTTTTTTGTTTCCAACCACCCTTGTCACTGGAAAGTACACCGGAAAAGTGATATTAGCGAATTTATTTTTTCAAAATAATCCAAACAGATCCGAAAAATCCAAAGACAGGGGTGATTTAGAGGTCATCTTGACAAGGCACATCTTCGAATATTTTTTCTTTTAATTTTTCGGACACTTTTGGAAATCGAAGTTACTATTCATCATCTTCCTCAGACGTTGTTGACGCGTGACCCTCTTGTGATATCGGATTTCAAACACATGAACCACTTTGATTATAAAAAAAAAGTAGCACATGACTCTATCTGGAAACCGGTCCAACCGTAGGTACCTTTTTCGTACTTACACGACCCAAAAATGTATTGAGGTGTAATTTTTAGAGGCCGTTTGGTAACACTGTTTTTCGGCTTATCAGGCTTATCAGCCAACTTTTTTACCAAACACGTAATTTGTTATGCGCGTGCTGAATTGTGTAATAAGCAGAAAAAGTAAGGTTGAAGTTACTTTTCTGGCTGTATTGGCTGAAGTTACTGTGGATGCCTATTTTAGCTATTTTTACATATAATTTTTTCTTTATTTTATTAATAAAATATATTTTAATAATAATTTTTTCTTAAATCAGCAGAAACAGCCAATGCAGCCACTTCAGCCAAGACTTCATAAATTTCAGCAGAATCAGCCAAAACAGCCGATTTTGGTGCTACCAAACGGGCTCTTAATGTGTCCCGTCTACAATCATGTGCGTTTGTGCATCTTAGATGGCAATAACCCCCATCAAGGCATTGAATTGTTAATCGACGCAAATGGCCTTTTGGTAGGGTGTAGTTTCCGTCCCTATTGATTTGGAAGTCATAATGTGTCGTCGAATGTCATTTTTTGGGGTCCTAGTTTTGTGGAAAGGGTATATGTCAATTTATGAGTAGACGAGTGCACATTCAATCAATATGATGATAAAATCACACAATTTGACTCCTCCGTTCATGTAGAGGCAGCGAGGAGAGGTAAAAGGCATGCAATAAATACACAACTGTTCTTAAAAACCAGTGCAGTCGATTAATGCAAGAACACAAGTATCATAGCGTACAAGTGTGTATTGGAACAAGAACCTTTTCTTTCTTATAACAGCAAGCGGGGGAGGGAATGTGGCAACAACTCCCTCATGGAGGGGCAACAAGTACACTACATTTCGCAATAACAAAGGCGGCAAGGCATGCTTTCACTCCACGTGCCACTTGACCCATATCAGAGTTTACCTATAAAAATAAACAAAACTGTCAGCAATCCAAGCCCCAACCTAGACCCATATTTAAGCACATGGCTTAATAAACTACACCCGTGAAACTTGAACCATAATCTGGAAAAATAATGCAAGGTTAAACTTAGAAATAATACTACGTAGTTGATGAGATTGAGTAAACAAAACATAATTAACCATTGGTTTAAAAATCATTTCAAATTAATCATATCACCAACTATAATTCCCTGATTATGAGTCTTCAATCGAAGTTCACAAGAAAATATATTCTATTCTCCTGCTCAAACTAGATATGGTGCAACCACAGAACTTTTAAATCAATAAACTCTTATGCCTTTCCAAAAATGGAAATTTGTATTTACAGAAGTACTGTAAATTGATCAAACTAAAAAATAAAGTATGCGTGTATCTTAGTAATCGAAATATAGCAACTGAGATTTCAACACAAAGGCTACTATATATCCAACATTAGAAATTGAAACTTGAAATAAATGAATTAGATGATACCACTGGCTAATTTTTTGAGGCATCTGATATGAGATACATTGTATGTTCAATGCTTTGACCCCCCATCATAATATATGTCATCATCATATCTTCTTCTTCTTCCTGTAGAGCGCGAATCATCACATCTTCCTCTCTTTGAAGAACTATAATCTCTATCCCTCTCACGGCGTCTGCCATCGATCTCCTCTCCATGCTCCTTCCCAAGCCTTCCATGGTCTGCAACACTTTCATGCTTCTGTTTCACATCATCAGCATCAGCATTATCTATTTTGTGTTTCCTTGCCTGACTCTCATCATCCTTCATTTTTTCTCCACTATCCTGCATGTATCTACAAAGGTTCTTGTCACCAGTAGAGCGTGAGTCATGATACTTCCCTCTCTTGAGAGGTTCATATTCTACATCTCCCTCATGCAGTTTCCTACCAACCCCCTCTTCATGCCCTTCTCTAACCTTTACATGGTCCCTTTCATGCTTCTCTTTCAAATTTTCCTCATCTCTTTTGTGTTTTCTTGACTGCCCATCCTTCATTCTTTCTTTTATATCATGCCCAAGTCTAGAAATGTCCTTATCACCAGGAGAACGTGAATCATCATATCTAGTTCTCTTGGAAGATTCATATTCTTTACAACTCTCCTCTTCATGCCTTTTCCTAAGTTTTCCATATCCTGCAACCCTTTCATGTTTGTCATTCAACTTTTGTTCATCATCTCTTTTGTGTTCACTTTCATGTCTGTCACCATCTTTCCTGCTTTCTCTTCTATTTTGTCCATATCTTGAAAACTTACTATCACCTCCCTGACACACATGCTGCAACAGCTTTTTTCCACCTTGATCACCATCCACATAATCTGACTCTGAGGAAGAACGAGAGCTCACTTCAGTTTCAGAATGCCTCCTACTTTTTCTGTGCTTCCTTGTTGATTTCTTTGTCCTCTTCTTATAGTCAATCTCTGAACCATCAGAATCAATCTGTTTACGCTCTTCCACGTTCTTTTTAGTGACCCTTTCAGTGCACTCACCTACATCACTATCACTATCAGTGGAATCGTCAGTTCTTGATTTCTTTGCCCTTGTCTCTGAACCATCAGAATCAGTATCTTTAAGCCATTTCTTTCCCTTCTTGTTCTTCTTGAACCTTTGAATGCTCTCTCCACCACTGTCATTCTCAGCAGAGTCTTCATTCCTTGTTGATTTCTTTGACCTCGTCTTATAGTCAGTATCTTTATGCCCTTTCCTGCTCTTTTTGTTCTTGAACCTCTGAATGCTCTCTCCACCACTGTCACTCTCAGCAGAATCTTCATTCCTTGTTGATTTCTTTGACCTCTTCTTATAGTCAATATCTGATTCAGTCTCTTTATGAGCTTTCATATTCTTTTTTTTTACCCTTCCAGTGCTCTCTCCAAGACTATCACTATCAGATGAATCCTCAGGGTCTCCCTTTTTCTGATACTTAGGAACACCTTTTCCCTTTATTTTATCCATTCTCCCATCAATTCTATGACTTTTTGACTTGTCATAATCATTACCACTCAATCCAGAGTCTAAAGCCTGAAGTTCAATCTGTTTCTTTCTATTTTCATTTTCATAACCGATCTTAAGTGCGTCCCTTAATTTCTCCATTTGTTTTTCCTTCCGCGCAGCAATTTGATGGGTTTGTGTTTCAGAGACCCTGAAACATCACAGCCACCACAAACTAGGTTAGCTCACGTGCAAACTTATGACCTATTATCTTGTTCCAAACAGACAAATTTGCAACACATAATATTACAAAATAAAATAGTCTAATTTAGTTTGATTTAAAAGTAAAAAGTTCTTAGTTCCACATTATCTATTTGAGCAGGAGACTAGAACATACTTTCTTTTAAACTTTGATGAAGACATGTAATCTGGGTAATGATAGTTGGTATTGATTCATTAGACATGTTATTTAAACCAAAAACTAATTATGTCCTACTTACTCCCACTCCCATCACAAGAAAAGAAGTGAAAATGTAAAAGTATTATTTCTAAGTTTTAGCCCACCAAAACTCAGCTCAGAAAAACATGTCTTTACAAAATAGTGTGTTGACAAAAATACATAAAATCCCCCCTGTAGTTCAGCAAGTTACATTTTCAAAACAGCCTATTCCATGATAACTTTTCTAAAATACAGATCATTACAAACACTTGCAATCAAGTGGGATAAACTGCATCTTCTTCCATGTAACTCCAATCAGTTAGATTTTCTCAGTTTTCCATGTTAACTGTTCTAAATATCAAATGAAGTGGTTCAATCTGTCCCACATATGTGAGTTCGAAACATTCAATTCAAAAGTTAACAAAAAGTGAAACAGAATCCTGAAGCTTAGAGAACAGGAAAGCGTAGTTACATAAACTTATGAGACTTAAGAGCCACTTGTAGCCATGGAAGTTCAATGTTTCAATTCTAAAGACAGGATAGTTTCGTGGATAGTTTAAAAAAGCCGAGAAAATTAGTATTTTTGCCGCGTAAGTGATCACTAATTTTCCCAGAAAACAAAATCATCTGAATTATAGGACTACTTGTGCTGAAATTTAACTCGGGAGCAAGCACAAACTGCCTCTAAATTGTTATAGCCAGATGCCAGGTATATCTATTTTATTACTAAATGAGTTCCAGAATTCTTTGTATGGTTTCAATTAGAAAAAGGCACATTTATTTTTATTGTATGCAAGTCATGACTGTTCAAATTAGTATCCAAGCGGAGTAGCTCCAGCAAGGGTTTCACTCCTCAAAAAGCATCAAATCTATTTCTCAAAATATAACACCAAGGTATCACGGACCAGCATTATTAAAGTGAATGAAACATAATATTGTTACTTGTCAGAGGAACCAGCAGCAGCTTCAGACTCAGCGTCTAAAGTTTGTCGAGTCTGCTCCAATTTTTCAGCGATCTCAGCCTCCGTGTAGCCCTGCTCGGAGAGCGTCTCCTCCAGGACGATGAGCTTAAGCTGGATCTGACGTTTACGGTCGTGCTCCAGGATCTCTTTGTTAGGTTTGCGGGTCACGCCGGCGGTTCCCTGATTCTCCCCAAATCCTCCTTTACCTCCGGCATCCACGACAACCTTATTGGTCTTCGGTCTCACGAAAAATTTATTGGTTTGGACGTAACCGTTCGTCCCGGAGCCGCGAGCTGTCTGTAACCCGATTCCGTTGTACATCTCCGCCGAAACGCTCAAATATCAATTACGCAACCGGTGATTGCAGCGCCGCAAAAATCCGGGTGACAAATGGATTTAGATTTCAGGATAGCCGTACACAACTTTTTGCCCCAAACTGATTAGAACGGGGATAAGAGTTTTATTACTCCGTAAAAAATAATTTTATTTTCCCAGTTATATATCCTAAAATATACACCAAACCCTAAAACCCGAGAGTTTCTCTCTCTGGGCGGTTGTCTTTTCTCCGCTTTCGTCTTCGACGAGGAGCGGTTTTCTTTTGCACCTTTCGTTCGTCTTTCGTGAGACTCTCTTCTTCGACAGACCGCAACGCCTATAAGGCGGCCAAAAGTTGTGCACCCCTAACAGCAGGTGGAGAGTTTCGAGGATGTCGTTCTTGGTTGAGATCAGAAGGTCATGGACGAAGCGTGGGGCCAGGGGCTGGAACAGATCTGGACGGGAGGCGAGAGGAGGAAGCTACAGTACTGTTGGACGTCCCCCTCCTAAACCGCCGCCATGACGGAGTGCAAGAGAGTTTAGGGTTTGGAAGCAGTTTTCTAATTTTACGGTTTGTTTGCTTTTTATTTTCATGATCAGTCTATTTATTTTTCTGTTGGTTACTTTTTGTTATAAGATTCTTGCATTAGGATTGGGTGATGGAGATCTGCTTTAACCGTCGTTGGCTCATTTATGCCCATTACAGGATCATCGAGTTATATTGCTTTTTTGGAGGATATTGACTCTAAGTTTGGTTCGAGGGCTAGCGGTTGTCTGTAGTCCTTTTGTCGTTTTATCCCATATCTGAATGTTGTGATAGTAATTTTGGTCATCTGTTTTGACGATAAAAAAATATTCTAAAATGAATGATTAATTACTTAATCATTGACCACTTAAAAATAGAAAAATACTCCCTCCGTCCCGCTATGATTGTCCCATTTTACCATTTCGGAAAGTCCTACTAAGATTGTCTCATACCAAATTTGGTAAAGTTTGTGTGGCTCTAAATCATACTTACTTTATTTTTACTTTATCAATTTTATATCAACCACACAAACTCACCTTTCTTAATAATCGTGTCACTTTCTCTTGTCTCAATCTTAGTGGGACGGAGGTAGTAAAATTTATTAGAACCACAAATCAAGTATTTCAAAACATCATAAAAATTTGAACCTAATATTTACAAATTATATATGCCTAGATTCAAATTTATGAATCTCTTATCACATCAACCTCAACATATGAAGTCTTGTCCCGATAGTGAAATACAAATATGAATTACAAAAACATTTAACTTCCAAAAATTCAACATATAAATTTAAAAACAATAATGTATATAAGTAAAATGATGAAAATGAGATATTTTTTCTAAAATATTACTAATAAAAATTCTATGGATAAAAATTTGACTATAAATTACCATGAGTAAGTTTTACAGTCCTACAATATAAAATTTGAATACAATTATAGAGAACAGGTTTGCCCGTTTGAGGACCTTCCCGGTGGATTTTTTTATGGAAGTTTTTAAGCATGTTCCTCATCAAGTCTAATTTATGAAAACCAAATTTTAGGTCAAAATTCAATTAGGAAGACAGTTAAATAAATTCTTGAAATATACTGCGCTTTATATATGCGCATTATGTTGGAAGAATTTATTTAACTACCTTCCCGATTGAATTTTGAGCTTAAATTTGATGTGCATAAACTAGACTTGATAAAGAATATGGTCAAAAAAACTTTCATGAAAATATTCGCAATTATCTACAACTAGTATTCTCACTCGGGCGATGCATGGCCTAAATTTTTAACCTTAGACTAAAATATTGAAATCCAAATAAAAACCTGAAGAGCGAGGCCGGCTTTTAAAACACTTTTCTGGGTTTTGCATGACGGCGATCACTTTGACTATGTCCAATTGAGCTCGATCTCGTTGATCAATGGAAAAGCTGCATGCTGTTGGAAGAAGTGAATGTGGACGAGGCGCTGTCAGACCTAAACTTTTCGATCCCAAACTAACTTCTCAGTGGTTGGACGAGTTCTATATATCGGTGAAGATTACTACTATTTAGAGCTGAGATATATACCATGCATGGTTGGTGCATGCTTCGAGGCCTGGTTGACATTAAAGAATTGGAGGAGTAGGGTGTTGACGAGTGCCCCGTGGTCTTATGAGAATAGTATTGTCATTCTTAAGCGTCTGGAGCAACCCATTAACAGTTCCTTTGACTCGTGAGAATTTCTGGATCCAGGTGTATGTATAATCTACCCTTACAAAAAAAAATTGTCAAGATCATCGGAGATCATGATGACAGTTTGTCCAAGCCGAGATAATCTTCAAATCCCTCAATCCGCTATAGTTAGGGTGAGTGATCATTTCTACGTCTAATTAGATAGCAAGGGTATTGAGATATTATTAATTAACTAAGTTATTAGCCTTTATATTTTCATTATTGAATATGTAATGTTTGGTGTTGATAAGATAGACATACGTGGTAGCATGTCATACATATGGCCCATGCACCACTTCCATCCCCTTTCCCATATCATTTGCTTGTACTATATATATGTGTGTAATTCGTATATTCAATGTAAGAAACATGCATGTTATGTGCATCTCACCTTTAGTGAAGGGTTTTCTCATTTTCAATAGTTTCGTACTTTACAATTTTATCATGGTATCAGAGCCGAAATCCTGGAAAAAGGAATTCTAATTTTTCATTCATTTCGTTCAAATAATTCTCCTATATCCGTTTTAGGCTATGGAGGTTGGTGATGTCATCATTAAGCCCGTATATGAAAATATGGGTTGTTTTTCTTCTACTGCTCAAGTAAATACAACTTGCACATCCTCGCATGTTTGTCCTTGGATAATTGATTCTGGGGCTACTGAGCGTATCACTTGTAGTGATATTAATCTTTTTAACATCGTTAGTCATGTGGCAGAATCATCAGTCAAAATTCCTAATGGCGAATCGATTCCAGTTCATGCTGTCGGAAGCTTATACTTACCCAATGGGATCCGTCTTGAGCGTGTTTTGTACATTCCAAAATTTCAATGCAATTTACTTTCTGTCAGTCGTTTGACAAGCGATCTAAATTGTACACTGACATTTTTCCCAGATTTCTGTATTTTTCAGGATGTACCCTCGAGAAAGTTGATTGGTGTTGGTAAATCTCGTGATGGGCTCTATTACTTGGAGCCTCTAAGAAGTGAAAGGGTGGCAATGTCAGTCTCTATTACATCCGATTTATGGCATCAACGTCTCGGACATGCATCTGATGGAAAATTACAACACATTAATTATCTCAAGGGTTTTCAACGAAGTGGTAATTTTTGTGATCCCTGCGTGCGGGCAAAACAGACTAGACTTTCTTTCCCTACAAGCAAAATCAAGACAGCTCGTAGCTTCGAGTTAATACTTAATACACTGTGACATTTGGGGAGGCTACAGGTGTGATTCAATTTCCGGAGCACGATATTTTTTATCTATTGTTGACGACTTTACTAGAGGTGTGTGGGTTTATTTAATGAAAAATAAGTCTGAAGTTGCTCAATTTTTAATTCAATTTTGCAACATGGTTGATACCCAATTTGAGAAAAAGGTCAAACGAATACAGGCTGATAATGGTGTAGAATTTCAAACCAATCATTTATTTGATTATTACCGTCGCACTGGGATACTATTAGAAACATCTTGCACAGACACACCACAACAAAATGGAGTTGTGGAGCGTAAGCATAGACACATATTGGAAATTGCGAGGGCACTACGTTTCCAGTCTGGGTTGCCTATTGATTTTTGGGGGGACTGCATATTGACAGCAGTTTACATTATAAATAGGCTGCCTTCACCAGTTATTTTTAACAAAAGCCCTTATGAAATGTTATTTGGAAAAACTCCTATCTATGATCATTTGCGGGTGTTTGGGTGTTTGGTATACGCCCATGATAATAAACGGAAGGATAAATTCGGTGAAAGGGGGAGTCCTTGTATATTTATTGGGTATCCATACGGTCAAAAAGCTTACCGAGTTTTTGACTTGCAAAAACACTCTGTATATAGCTCTCGGGATGTGACATTTTTTGAAGAAGTTTTTCCGTTTAAAATGATTAAAAACCAAGAGCTTGATTTCGGGAATCTTATTGATCAAGTATTTCAAGAAGTATTGAAACAGGGATCTACAGCTGTCCAAGATAAACAGTTCAATGGTGATTTTCTGTTACAAGAAAATAGTAATTATTTTCGTCCCAGCTCCAACGACAAAGAAGTGCGTGGGTTTATTCAAAAAGAGGGAGAGTAGGCGATTTCGGTTAAGAGCCAATGCATTCCAAAAGAAAAAGATGGGAGCACAATTATTTTGGATGCATGTGATGATAATAGATCGACACAACTACCTCCACTTCTTGGAAGGACCATTGAAAATCAATCCGGAGCAGCACCAAAGGGCCCCACTGGACAAGCACCCATTTGCATTGATTGCATGGATAATTCAAGCAATTATCTATCTACTGGGTTGCTGCATGCAAATAAAATAGCCACCACACAAAATTCTTTTGAGCAATGGGACCCCAATGAACAGTTTACTCAAAGAGACAGAAACGATTTGGATGAGAGTCACCTTCCAGGTCCACATGCAAATCCTCCAAAATTGCATGACCCCATCTCAAAATCACAGGCATGCATCGAGGAAGATAGGCGCGGTCAACCGCCAATAGTGACTGAATACATTGCACCGCCGGCTGCACAAAAACAAGGAGTGAGAACTCGGAAAATTCCCAAACATTTAGAGGACTATGAGACTGACATATCCCCTTCACTTGATCACTCACGGTCAACCACCGCCAATTCAGCTAACTCAACGGTATATCCTATTTCTCATTTCATTAATTATGATAAATTTACACCCACTCATAAAGCCTATCTAGCGGCCATCACCTCACGTGATGAGCCCAAATATTTTTCACATGCCGTACAGGATCCTTTGTGGAGAGAGGCCATGCAAAAGGAGATTAACGCCCTGGAAGAAAATAATACTTGGACTTTAGTCAATTTACCGCCCGGGAAAAGAATTGTGGATTCCAAATGGGTTTACAAAATCAAATATAAACCCAATGGCGAAGTAGAACGTTACAAGGCTAGATTGGTAGCCCGGGGTTTCACTCAAGTTGAGGGAATTGATTTTCACGAGACTTTTGCACCGGTTGCTAAGCTTGTCACGGTGTGATGCATGCTAGCCGTCGCAGCTAAGCGTAATTGGATTGTACACCAACTAGATGTGAATAATGCTTTTCTCCACGGTGATCTCTCCGAGGACGTCTATATGCGTATTCCCCAAGGATTCATGAAAAGGGTGATAATCTTGTTTGCAAATTACAAAAATCCTTATATGGACTACGACAGGCTTCTCGCAATTGGTATAAAAAATTTACTCAAGCTATTAATGGAATAGGTTTTCGCCAATCCCGAGCGGATCACTCTTTATTTATTTTTCGACAAGGTCTCGTCACAACGTTTGCCCTCATCTACGTTGATGATGTCCTCCTAGCCGGAAATGACGGTTCTCACATTTCCACCATTAAAGAGTATTTAAACAACAAGTTTAGCATCAAAGACTTGGGTAAATTAAAATACTTCCTCGGCATTGAAGTTGCTCGTTCTCCAGAGGGTTTTGTCTTAAGCCAACAGAAGTATACTCTTGATATCTTGGAAGAAAGTGGCTTTCTAGCGGGCCGTCCCAGTTTGTTTCCCATGGAACAAAATCTAAAACTTCGTCCGGACGATGGTAGCCAACCAGTAGACGCGTCTTCCTATCGCAGACTGATCGGGCGCCTATTGTACCTCACTGTAACTCATCCAGATATTGTCTATCCTGTCAGTCAGCTCAGCCAATTCCTTTGTCATCCGCGACAAAGTCATCTCGATGCTGCCATCCGTGTATTACGTTATCTGAAACAGACACCTGGTCAAGGAATATTTTTATCATCTGATAGCAATTTCAACTTAAAAGGATATTGTGATGCAGATTGGGCTGGTTGTTCCTTCACTCGTCGCTCTAGCACTGGATATTTCATTTCTCTTGGAAATTCACCTATCTCTTGGCGAACAAATAAGCAATCAGTTGTTTCACGCTCTTCCGCCGAAGTCGAATATCGCGCCATGGCAGTCACAGTTAGTGAAATATTATGGTTGCGTTGGTTACTCCAGGACCTTACAGTCAATCAAATAGGTCCCACGCCTCTTTATTGTGACAATCAAGCAGCAAGGCACATTGCACTAAATCCTGTTTTTCATGAACGCACAAAACACGTAGAAATGGATTGTTATTTTGTAAGAGAAAGAGTTGCTAGTAAAGAGATTCAGCCAGTATCTATCTCCACAACCAATCAAGTGGCTGACATTTTCACCAAAGCACTTGGCACTGATCGTTTTCAGTTTCTTCGAAGCAAGTTGGGTGTTCGTAATCTTCACACTCCACCTTGAGGGGGAGTATTGAGATATTATTAATTAACTAAGTTATTAGCCTTTATATTTTCATTATTGAATATGTAATGTTTGGTGTTGATAAGATAGACATACGTGGTAGCATGTCATACATATGGCCCATGCACCACTTCCATCCCCTTTCCCATATCATTTGCTTGTACTATATATATGTGTGTAATTCGTATATTCAATGTAAGAAACATGCATGTTATGTGCATCTCACCTTTAGTGAAGGGTTTTCTCATTTTCAATGTCCTTAGACTGAGCTTAGAAGTCAATGTAAGGGTTATCACCATTAACAGTTCCTTTGACTTGTGAGAATTTCTGGATCCAGGTGTATGTATAATCTACCGTTACAAAAAAAAAATTGTCAAGATCATCGGAGATCATGATGACAGTTTGTCCAAGCCGAGATAATCTTCAAATCCCTCAATCCGCTATAGTTAGGGTGAGTGATCGTTTCTACGTCTAATTAGATAGTAAGGGAACTTTCGGGTTATGATGAGTACGTTTGGTAGCAGGAGGCTGGTCAATATTGAAAAGTTTGTAATGTGTTCTTGGATTCTACTCCGTAATATAATCAGTCAGCTGCCTTTAAAAAACGCGATTGTGATCTAGTTTGCATAGATAAAGTCTGAAAAGCAATTTTTTTTCTTGTTACGCCGAGAAATAACTGGAGTGAAAGAGCAATCTTCAGTGACATCAATTAAATCATTGTGTTCAACCAATGCCGGAGAAGTCACTGAAGAAATGGATGAAGATCCAGCAACACAATGACCTCAAGTCTCAAGTTTCATCCTTTTGTCTAAAATCCTTTTCATTCATAAAATAATAAAAGATAAATATACCAATAGTTATCTATTGACCATATTACGATCAACTAAGTAGTACTCCCTCCGTCTCATTTAAAGGTTCCCGTCCACTATTTTCCTGCCAACGTGAATTATTTTTCAATTTTTTTATCAAGTATTATAAAACTTTTAAAAATGTAGTTTCTGAATATGTAAAAAATTATGACCAACACATTTTGAGACATTACCTCAGTAATGCCACTCTACATTTATTTTAAAAATTAAACCTTGAGCCAATTAATTGAGCTTTAAAATAAAAAAAAAATACTCACACTACATACAAAGAAATATTTTTGGGCCTATCCCCCCCTCTATTTTCTTGGGACTAGGGCGGTCGCCCCTATTGCACCGCCTAGGGCCGCCCCGTGCGCATGTCATTGGAAAATTCAATATGAGTTTACACGGGTTTATTTTAATTATGAATATGTGACATATATATTGTCGTGAGTTTTACTTTTTGTAGTAGTGTAGTACTTTGTGTTTTGCATATTTACTTTGTGCACAACTTAGCGAAATGAAAATCTTTTATCATGGACTGCTCGATCACGGGCTTCAGATAAGCAAAATAAACTTTATTGATAGGTAATATATAGCCAAATGAAAATGCTTTATGAGGAGGTCTTTCATGAGCGGGTCTGAGTGGAAACAAAAGAAGCCGACCGATATGGGGAGTGTAAAAGGGTTGTGTAGGTAATACTTTTTGCTCAACCGATCTGATCTATTGATTGTACTGTGGATGGGAAGGCTATGGCGGTGCTACATAATATGAGTGGAACTAGGTGTACACAAAAGTTGTACACTTATCTGTCAAGCGCAAATAAATTGTCTGTCTGGAGATGAGTTGTCTGTCCACCGACAACTCACTTCCGGACAGACAATTTATTTCCGCTGGACAGACAAGTGTACAACTTTTGTATACATCAATCATTTTTCACATAATATAGCTTAATTGGTGAATATAATGTGGAAAGTGAGGGGAAAAGAAAGGGGATATGTCATACGTACGTGAGATCGCAGGTGAAATTCTTGTTTCTTTTTTTCGATTTGAATGTGCAATAGATGAATAGATAGCTTACCTTTTAATTTGTTATTACTAGTAATATCTCAAATACTATAAGCATGAATAGAGGTAAGAGTATTTTAGGTATGGAAAATGTGTTGGTGGTACATGATAGCTTTGGAGATATATACCCAATGATTAGATAATTGTACTCTTTCTGTCTTTCCCCACTAATAAACAACGTCTATCATCCTTCTGTTAGCGCACCGTCACCCCTACCTCACAACGCAGCGCCCCGTCTCCCTATAGATTTCATCGCATTCTTCGCCTCGTCTCCTCCGCACTAGAGTGAAATTTGGAGGGAAGAACGCAAACTTAGTTAACGAACCAAACTCTGTCCTTCCCAATCCAACCCTTCATCTCCATTATCCCATAGCTCCGCCTCTATATCAGGTAACCCTCCGCTCTTCTTCTCTCCTTTTTCATTTCCGAATTCTTCTCGCCATATCTTTCTATTGTCGGGAGCAGTTGACTGAAATTGAGGTTATGCTCTTCCTCTCTTGCGTAGGCTGACTGCCCAGGGATCCAGTGTGAGGATATCCAGATCTCCCATGGAAGGGGATGTGGTCTCTGGCGACGCCTCCAAGACGCCGTTGTCGGCGGCTGTAGACGCGTTCGAAGGCCTTTTCGCGGAGGTGGATACCGAGGGGTTTGATTGTATTCAACTGAAACCATTCTGCGAGGCATGCTCTCTTGTTTTTGTCCTATTTGGGTGTTTAGGGATTGCCTTTAAATTCGCCGAGCTTGAATACGTTGCCAAGGTTTGGTTTCCTCTTTGAATTTCATTTTTAAATGTAATTTTTGAATTGTAATTTTGCTTGCTCTTTTCAACAACAGACTGATCGATGACGATAACTAGCTTTGAAGTTTAGTATTAGAACGAAATTTAAAAAGCAAGATATTTTTAACCATTATTTATGCAGGTCATAATAAGCAGGATATTTTTAACCATTATTTATATAGGTCATAAATGAGTATTGTCAGTGCTTATATTATCCGTTTCTCGTCTACACTACATGGAGCTCTTGCAATTTAATCTCCTCTCCTCAAATAAGTATTCATGCCTAGAGTGTTCAGCAACCACATACTGCTAACATAACATAATACCTCTATACATAACTAATTGGGCACATACTGGTTCAATACAAGTCAGACATTTAATGTTGTGTAACTCTTTATCAGATTATACCGGTTTCAATCATTTTTTTACTATGTTCATTACAATCTTCCTTTTATTTATATAGGAATATCTATCCAGCAAGGTATGATGAAAAAAGATTAATCTGTTTATTAAGATTTTCTTTGGTGGTGGGGGAATGGATTCTTACGGAATAACAGTCTGAACAATATATTGTGACCCTTTCATGGAAGACATGTCATGTTCAATATGAGCTCTCTTAACAAAATAGTAAGATGGTTGAGATAGTATAACATAGGTGATGAGAAAGGTTATAACATGGTTGAAGATATTGGAGGAGAATGGATAATTAATTCATATTTTATTGCTTAATTTCATTTGGTTAGGTTTGGACTACAAAAACTAATCGAATTACTTAAATCATGTGCAAAGTATTAGACGTTAAAATAATTTGACACTCTAGGAATAAATATCAATCTTCTTCTTTCCCCTGAAATCCTAAAGAAATAATCCATTCAAGTTTGTTTTTGCTTTTGATTTAAAGAAATCTAATAAAAAGGATTTCATTATGAATATTTGAGTGATTTTTTTCATATATCAAATTTCATAGTGAGTCATGTAAAAGTCAATTTCATTAATAAAATCTTGGGCATTTATACGACCGCGCAACGCGCGTGTATAAACTAGTTGGTTATATAAGAACACATAAAAAAAATTGACATGTTCATAAAATAAAATAAACATATACCAAAATTGAAATTAAAAATATAAAAAATTCAAATCTTGCGGGTCTTATTCTTTTGGAGTAATAAGTAGTCAGTGGCGGATCTAGCCTTTACATTTTGGGTGTTCGAAACTAAATTAAAATTAAAATTATCTCAATAATTGTATATAATACAATAAATTAAAATTAAATTATATCAATAAGAAAATCACCTCAACAACCGATTTTTCTTGGTGCTGATGCTTTTTCGACAAATCAAAATTCACAATTCATCCAATTCAATGCAAATTGGATTCGAGATAATTGTTCATTGCCCCTCATGTACAACATATTCCATTACTTGGTATCATTTACAACAATGGGTAAAGAACTCAGGAGGTATGAATAGACGATACCCATTATATCATTATTATCATATTTCTTCCAAAAGTCAAAATTCAAAATACACATATGGCTGGAGTACAATTTACTTACTATGAGAGAAACCCAATTTAGAAAGAACCAATAACCTGTAGAAAAGTAAAAAGAGATGGAAGCCTAGCCGGAGATCTGGCCGTCTGAAGCACTAGACCTGACCTGTGTGAATTGAGAATCTGACCGACAGCAGGGTAGATGTAGATGACCGCTTAGCAGACTTGAGGAGTCGCCGGCTCGCGGCGGTCAGCAGAAAAACTGGAGCCTGGATCGATGTCTTGACTCAGAAAGGACAACCGTCATGTGTGGGCGGCCGGGCCCGCAAAACGGGCCTAACCCCATGTTCATATCCACCCGTAAATTTTAAATTTTTCAAAATTATATAATTTTTTAAAAACTTTAAAATAATATTACAACATTTAAAAAATTGTTAATATGCTTATAATGTTTATAGGTCTTTCACCGCATACAAAAATAATACTTACACAAATATAATAATGAAAAACTATATCTAAAATTAAAATTCAAGCACAAAGTATTATATTTAAGTACAAAAATATATACTGAGTACTATATTAGTTGAGCTAGTTGTTAAGAACTAAAAACCTAAATTTAAACACAATAAACTATAAATATGTATAAAGATAAATTAGTAAATACAAAGTATAAATATAAATTTGTACATGTAAATAAATAATTAAATAAGTATGTGTGTGTATATAAACTAAATGTAGCGGGCCAGAGTGACAAATTTGTTTTCTTGGATTTAATATATGATTGGGTAGGAGTTCGACATCTTCCTAAAACCCTATGGATTTAATCCCATTTTCGCTATATTATCATTGATATTCCTAAATATGCATAGTTTTTTTTTTTTTTCTGTTGGCTCTAAGGGCTTATTTGAGGTCTACACTAATTACTTACAGAGTTTAATTATATCCTAACTATATATATAATTATATATTACACGTCTCTAAGGCCGGGCTTAATTCAACTGTTTCCTAACTATATTCTATTCACAAATACGTATGTGTGTGTGTTTAATTTACGAATTATTGTCCTAAATGGGACTAAATCTTTCATGAAATTCTTAAATAGGACTAAGAATATTTTTTCCCTTAAATAGGACTGTATTACACATTTACCCCTGTTCTTTCTTTTTCCCCTTTTCCTCAACGATCTTTTTCTCCCCTGCACATCTTTCTCTCCCCTTGCGCATCTTCTCCCCCAGCGCACGCACCTTCTTCTCCCTTCCTCTTCGCACTGGAATAACCAACCAAAGCTTCGACCCTACTGTTGCTGACATGAAGTCCTCTGCCACTGGCCACTGCCCAATCGTACCCATCGTCGCCGGAGACGCGAAGTCCGCCGCCGTCGCCGTCATGACGTCGGAGATCTTCTCTTCTTCGAAGGTAGGTTCGTTCTCTCCTTTCTCCCCTCTTCTCTAGTTCTCTCCCTCTTCTATTTCGTTAGAGATACCAAGTTCAACACTGAAAATTCCATCAAAATGGCATTCTTATTCTTCAAAAAATTCTATTTTTCTTTGAAAATGCCATTAAAGTGGCATTACTGATTCATTTTGGCATTTGATAAAAAATGTTGGCATTCATGCTGGGAGCGGCCAGATCTAAAACGATAAAGGCCAGATTTGTGGTGAAAGATTCCGGATTGGCTGCGACAGGCGGCGACCGGCAGCGACATGCGGCGACCGGCAGCGACAGGCGGCGACTAGCGGTGGTTCGGCGTTCTGGTCGGTGCCAGTATGATTTCCATGCTCCAAGGGTGTTTATGTCCAATTGCAAATAATAACTCTTATTTTGGGAATTTTTAAGCTTGAGTCCTATTTTGGCAATTAAAGATTGATTTAGTCCCATTAAGGTAATTACCTCTTTAATTTATTGACCCATGACATTAGTGCTCAAATCTTTATTTTGAACTGTTATTCAAAACTGATCTTTCAATTTTTATGACCAAAAATAATATTGGCAAAACTTTTTACGAAAGCACCTGGACTACCCATGCATTTAAAATTTGCATATTCAAACTTATTTTAATTCACTCTCATACGTACGGATCACACAAGTATATATACCTCTTAGCTGAAACACTATCGATCATTTGTTTCACTTGGTGGAATGTCTTGAAAGCGTATAGGCTATGGCCCAAATGTGGTCTTGAAACACCCTGCAGATTCGCTATATTAATTAATTAAGAGAACTAGCGGCGCACGCACGCACCATAAACTGAACCTATCGATCATTCTCCTGGAAATTAAACTTCTTTCGGCGGTGGATATTCTTGTGGGCCGATCGAATATGAATCAAAAGCGTACACCGCTTGATAGAAAGCTAACGGAATGGCATTAGAAATTTGATATATAAACAACATTCATGTTTCAATATATGTTGCAGCAGTGCGTGGTTGTTGAAAGCAACGAACCCAACTGTAGTAGTGAAAAAAATGAGATAAAGGCCGGTATTGAGCAGCTCGATCATCAACCTTGACGTACCACGGATGATGCGCAAAACATGAGGGCCGATGGAATATGAATCAAAAGTGTTGTTTGGGCATATGGACAAAGGATGGTTCCATTGTGCATATGTCTTTTTGCCAAAGATCATAGTTTTTAACCTTATGGCAGGAATACCCAATACCTACATACTCAGTGGCGGAACCAGCCCGGGGATATTGGAGGGGCACATATCGGGAAAGGAAAGGTCTTCGGCAAGACGGGCAACTTGCTACGACTCTAGATTTCCGGTCTCCGGCAAGATCGGCCGTCGCAAGAGGAAATGCCGAAGAGGCTGCGACGCTATGAGCCGTACGGAAGCGGCTGCGTTCGCCGTCTAAGCTGTTGTGCATGGCTTGCTGCTAAACGGGGGTTTCCGAAAGGCGGGAAAGGGAGCCGAGCAGCTTTTTATTTTTATTTTCTTTTATTTTTATTTCAGTGGTTTGAGAACGGTAATAAATGTCGGGAAAATATGACATGTATATTATTAATAGAGTTCCCCTTGATAAAACTATAACTAGTTATGTATTTTGAACAAAAATATGACTCGTCACTATGTACGAGTAATTGAACAAGAGTCATTATAGCGCATTTCAAAGTGACCACTAATAAGAGCATCTTCAATGCCACAATATGCACGGTGCACATGTGGCATGAGAGATATAGACACAAAATATTGATTTTATGACATTTCTCTCTCCTTCTTTCCACGGTCTTATGTGTTTTTGGTAAGTTTTTCTCTGCAATGTCAACCACAATGTCTACATCTAGACATTGTGCTTGACATTGTGAAGAAAAACTTACCAAAATGATGCAAGATCCTTCAAATAAGGAGAGAGATATTCTATGTATTGTTTTTTAATTGGTTATTTCTCATGCCACGTATGCACCGTTAACGTTTTAGCATTGAAGATGTTCTAACTAGTCACTGAATATGTAACTTTTTCAGAAAATTTTAAAATAAATTGTTTTTTTTCTTTTAAATTTAATCGAATAGTATTCAATAAAAAAGGGCTTTTTCCTTTGATTTTATTTCCTTCTCCTAGCTTGATGCCAACACGTGTCTTTTCTTATGGTTTAATCATCTTGCTCAAAGCATGGGCAGCAGACAACATGACAAAACAGCAGGGGCTGGATATAACATTATAACTTATACTAGGTATATATATACATAAAGAACCGTCGGGCCGCAGGGGCACAAGCCCCTCCAGGCACTTACATAGTTCCGCCCCTGTACATACTATTTATAGATAGCTAGATGAAAATCTTCTTGCATATGAATTGTCCAACGTGTAATTGGCATGCACAAATTGTACGTACTTTTTAATTGATATTTTAAATAAATATTGAAATCTAAACATTTAATGCTCCCATTTAATATAATCAATTTCATAAACATTAATTGTATGAACATTACCGTGTAAACATATCTACGTTTTGTACTTTGTCCCTTCACATTTAATGCTTCATTCCGCCGCACTATTTTGAGGACCAATTTTGACCCGTTTTTTGCCCATATTTTTTAGGCCGGAAACCAATTCCACGTCTTTTCCTATATAGATAGGTTTTATGATTTCCGTTAATTTCTTCTAGCATAGATTAACAATTATATTAAACTATTAGAACAGTCTTCCTAATTTAAGTGTACTAAAAATTTATAAATTTAAGTGTCCTAAATTTAGGACACTTATTTATTCTTTTTGTGTTTTTCTTATAGATTCTACATCATGCCAACTATAATAACTTATAACTTTTTTACGAATATACAATGCAACTAAATAGGGGATGGGAACCTATAACAGAAGGATGATTAGTGTAGTAATTAAACAACAATTATTTTTACGATGAGAAATCTTTCAAACTCAATTTTAATTAATATGATTATAATCTTTTATGGCAATACTTTAGTGTCTCTTCCTCCCTGCATTTCTTACATTCATTGAACATAATTATATTAAAAATATAATAATAGTACTTAAGGTTAATAACATTGTATAGTTGGTTATGAATGCACTCTAATTACTCGTAACTTACATACATAAGGACTTTCTTTTCTTAAGAAGAAAATGTTTCACCTCACTTTAATTCTATCATATCACACATATAAACACACACAAACATAAACATAAAAGAAATATATTATATAACGGTTCCTTAATGGTTCCATTAATATATTTTAACAGGAATCGGGAACCGAACTATTAATAATGATTACAAATCAAACTATTAAAAACTTGTGACTCAATAGTAGGAACTAGGAACGTAACTGAATGACTCGTAACGGCTCATTTCTTGATTCTAAAATCACACCCCTAATACCTTATCCATACCAAGTAGATCAGAATTAATGTAGGATTAATTAAACTATGTTGTACATTCTCTAAATAAAATTAAACATTGCATTTGAATATAATTAATTTCAGGGAGAAATCCGGCAAAGGTTTCGATAGAGAAAAATCTCTCTATCTAAAATGGGAGAAGAGCTAGGGTTTCCGCTCCCTCGCTCTAAGCGTAAAAAAAGGAAATCCTGCGATCACCGGGAGTGCTTGCAACTGCTTAACAAAGCGCTTCTCGGCTTTTGACTTAAAAAAATTAAAAGGATTGTTTTCAAGTGACAACCTCTATTTAAAAAAAAACGTTTCTCGGCTTTTGTGTGAAAAATATTATTTACTTTTTCTGTCACACAAAAAAGTACCAAAAACTACCAACTTTTACTTTTTAAAATTACTTTTTTTTCTTAAACAGTATCAACTTTTATTTAACAAAAACAACATTTGCAAACACTCTTCACGGTGCAAATCACTGGAATTTCTCTCATTCGGCATAATACATTCAGCATTTCACGAACAAAACAGCTTCGCCATGGCATCAATTCCGACCAGTGCAAATCTACTGGGTCGTTTAGGCATCACGGCTTTACCGTCTCGAGCTTCTCCTCCCCATTCCTCTGTAACTTACACCACTCGGATTCACATACATTGCTTCCGGACCCGCTCCTCTCTCACTCCCGCTTTTCTTACCTTTTCATCTGATCCCTGCTTGAAAAGATTGCGCCTTTTTGAGTTCGGTTCGAATCCCCCCCCTGTCTCAGCTATTTCTAACGGCAGCTCAAACGCTGGAAGTGGGCATGGTGGCTCCGGCAACTGCAGTACCGGAGGAGGAGGAGGATGCGGTAGCAGTGGCGATGGCCGTGGGGGTGACAGCACGTGGTCATTTCTCACTTGGTATTTCTCTCTTAGTATATCATCCATTACTGTATTTCGAATGACTAGCTCATAAAAAATTGTAATCATCAATTTAGGCTGTGCCTGGTATAATTATTTCCAGGAATGTGAAATAATTGATTTGTTTTGGATGTACTTTCTCATATATTTTAGTATCATTGTTCTGTTAAATACCTCACATCCTTGGTTTCTAACCTGTGACGCTCTCCTTGATACTGTTGCCACACAATGATGTCATCCAACCATGCTTGGTGACGAAGTGAATTAATAATTCCCTCCGCTTTAGAGATGTCCCAAGCTTACAAAATAATCGTCAAAATGATCAAGTATTAAAAATTTAAAATAGCACACATATAACATCCTAGTTATTGTCAATTACCTCTGTTATATACTCACCAAAATTATTTCTCAAAACATACTCGAATTACCTTATTTAATTATTGTCTAAATAATCGTGCCATTTTTCAATGAGAAGCTTAACCCAGGATGGAGGTAGCACTTACCAACCACAATGATTCCTTTCATTACCATTCCTCATTCCACAGCCCTCCCTACCAAGGTAAAGCTAAACATTCTAATTATGATAACGGTTTGTTTTGCTTCCTAATGTAAAACCCAAATTAATCATTAACAAATATTGCTCCATGGGAATCTGCACGAAGGTTGTTATTGATAGAAAATTTGGCTTATTAAAATTATGAGGTTGATAAGGCAAGTGAGGCACTTCATTAAGTTGATTATATAATATGTCAATGCTCTTGTAGTCATGGTCTCTTTAACAGATTTTATGAAGGAAAGGAAGCTTCCATTTTACAGAGAGAGATGCTATTGTCATGATACAACCAAAAGAAGAAGACAAGTCTCTCTATATAATACAAAGAAACAGGAAACAGAAAATAGTTGAGTCAATTAGTTGAGTTGACTTTTATTTTGTTGATGCCTGAGTGTGCTGGCTGTATTACCCCCCCGTAAGATGAGTCGTATATATTTAGAAGACCCAGTTTAGAGATAAAAAATATAAATTGAGAAGCTCGCAAAGCCTTTGTGAAACCATCAGCTATTTGGTGAGAAGAAGGAATGTGAAGCAATTTGGTCAAGCCATTTAGAACTCTTTCACGGATGATATGGCAATCAATCTCTATGTGTTTACCACGTTCATGAAAAACAGCATTTTCTGCTAAGGCCATAGCTGATTTGTTGTCACAAAATAAAATGGCAGGTCTAGAAATAGGATGAAGCAAATCATGAAGAAGATATTTCTAGCCATTGGGCTTCACAAGCAGCTGCAGCTAGAGCTCTATATTCGGCTTCAGATGATGACTTTCAGACAGTGTGTTGCTTCTTGGCTTTCCAAGAAATAAGAGAAGAACCGAGGAAAGCACACTAGCTAGTAACTGATCGGCGTGTGATAGAACAAGAAGCCCAATCTGTGTCGCTAAAAATTTGTAGATTAAGATCATTTGAGGTTGGGAGGTAAAGGCCTTGTCCCATAGAACTTTAATATAACGTAACACTATGTGTGCTGCTGAAAGGTGAGATGCTTTTAGCTCATGAATATGTTGACTGAGCTGTTGAATAGCAAAGGAAATGTCTGGTCGTGTAGAAGTCAAATAGAGCAATCGACCAACCAATCTTCTATAAGGTGTGATGCCCTGTAATAAAGGATCATCAGATGTATTCAAAGTACCAGGAACAAGTGGAGTTGAAGCTGACTTGCAATCCTGGAAACCTTCTTCCTGAAGAACATCAAGGATATATTTCTTTTGACAAAGATGAAGACCTTTTGTACTTCGAGCAACTTCAAAACCTAGGAAGTACTTTAGTTCACCCAAATCTTTGATTTGAAAAACTGAATGAAGAAATGTGTCCAGTTTCTGAATGGCAGAGAAATCATCACTAGCAACAATAATATCGTCAACACAGACTAATAAACCAAGAAATCCATGTTGAGAAGAATGTATAAAAAGAATGGATCAGCTTTGCCTTGTTGAAAGCCATACAGAAGAAGGGCAGAGGTGAGTTTGGCATTCCATTGGCGACTAGCCTGTTTTAGGCCATATAGGGATTTCAGAAGTTGACAAACTTGATTTGGTTTTGAGGTATGAAATCCTGGGGGTAATTTCATGTATACCTCCTCATTAAGGTCACCATGCAACAAGTGCTAAGAAAGTGCGAGTGGTAGTTATGCGTGCCACGGGAAAAAAGGTATCAAAGTAATCAACACCCAACTGCTGAGTAAAACCTTTTGCTACCAACCGTGCTTTATACCTCTCAATGGTGCCATCAGCATGATATTTGATTCTAAAAACCCATTTACAATCAATTGGGCTTTTACCAGGAGGAAGATCTGTAATGAATCAAGTACGTTTAGCTTC